TAGGAATATAAAAGAAATCTATTTTTCGAGCCCAGATCGAGTGGCACGCTGTTACAGAGACGACCTCTTAACTGTCACATGAAGAAGAGAGAAGATCAGTGGAGTTTCTTTTTAAAACAAGATATTTCAACATAGAAGAAATACATTTTCTGGATATTTTAATCTTATTATGTATTGAGTTGTGTTCTTTATTTTTCAGACAAAGGGCGACCCAAAACTCTTTTTGGGAGGCCTTCCTCACTCTCTTCCATATTCAGCAAAAGGTATGGGATGAACGCAATGATAGTAAATTATCAAATGCCAAGTGCTTGATATGTGATTCTCATATTTAATCATGCCTAATATTTCCGTTGTCAGATCATTCTTGCGCGCATCAATTTTCACCTTTAATTTATAACAGTAACCCAGACAACTAGTCCCAATCCCAAACCTTTGTGGATGCTTCAGATTAAGCTTCGCTTAGTTTGGACTGTTTAAGCTCAAGAAATCATCAATACTCACATGCTCACATACTTCCATGCCGTTCACAGTGAAGCCCAAGGACCAGCTCTTCCTCTTCCAGATGACAGGTACATTCAACCTGCTCGAACCGTTTTTTTGAATCGAGGAAAGAAAGGGTTCGGCTTCCAAATGAGGGGCGCAAACTGTAAGTATATACTGCAAACTGTAAGAGAGGCTTTGCACCATCACGTGATGACAGCCATCACCGAGAAGGCAGTAACGATTGACTCTGGTCTAATCTGATTTACATGAGAAAGAATTCACTTTCTCAGAGGGAAAATGCTCAATTGTTGTGCCTCCTGTCATGGCTGTCACCACGTGATGGTGCAAAGCCTCTCTTCCGTACAGAAGTCCCTCGCAAAAGAACGCCATTTGCTTTCTGGGATAGAGCGGGGCGTGTGGTATGGTAGCTTTCCTTCCCCGCCCTACACCCTGTCATATTATTATCATTACCTTAGATTACACCGTTGTTTACCTTTCCCAGGCCAGGCGCCCCGCCTAAATTTCAAGGCCACAAAAGAATTCCCCGCCCTTCAGTACATTGGCGAAGTTGAACCTCGTGGCGAGGCAGAGAGTAAGGGAGTCAAAACGAATGACTTCATTCTTGAGGTAATATATTATACTATTAAAAAAAAGATGAACTTTATAAAAGTATGATATTTAATTTTACTTGTCGAAAAATCGGTATTTTAATTGGTCTGGCTGGCAGGTATCAATCAATAGGTCAACCCATCTATAGAGTACTGTGTAAACGGTTTGCCGGGTTCAAAAACGGTCTACTAGCTTTATCTCTTTTCTTTGTGTTTTATGTATCAGTGGTTGGTTTTCTTCATTTATGAGATTTTTGGGCATTTTCCAAAAACGCTTTAAAAAAACAACAACAACAAAAAACAAAAAACAAAAGCAAAAAAAAAAAGAAGCAAACAAACACTGATTACAACAAGAACAATACAAGAACTCGAATTTTTGCGCAAATTTCTCTCTGCTTATGTTCAGTTTTTTGTTTGCTCATCAGGTGGTCAGCGAAATATCTGGCTATTATCCTTTTTTTTTTCCTATTCTTCTAGACCTTAAATTCTGTGACCCTGATAATTTATCGGTCATTTTAATTTGTAATGTTTAAACATTTCTATAGGTCAATGACGAAGACGTTACCAAAGCAACGCATAGTCACGTGGTAAACCTTATTAAACGTAGTGCCAAGTCTGTGAAGTTAAAAATAGTTACAGTGCCCGGGAGKGATTTAAATGGAGTAGATTCCATAGACTCGGGTTATAACAGCTTGGCGTATAATTCATTAAGAGGTATGTTTTTTTAATGTTTTTCTAGTTCCAAAATTCTGCTCCCTCTTTTCCTCTTTCCCTATCTCTTTCCTTGTCTTTCATACGCCCTTCCTTTCTSTCTAAATACCCAATACACCCCCTTCCCCCTTCAGTTTCTTGCACAATACATTAAGGTGGCTGCCTACTTTTGAACGTTCGAATTGAGCCCACGATGAGCGCGCGCTCAAAAACC